GTGTGTCTACATTCCACATAAGAGGGAGATCAAGCAGTGCTAAGCCTGGCTTAGTTCATTTAAGATACTGATTGTGAATTTTCTAAACTTTAACTTTCTCACATACAGACTAGATCATGGGAGAACGTCATGACAAACGGTGTTCTCCAAGTGGAAAATACTATTAACTGGAACAATAAATAAGAACCAAAAATAGTATCCTAATAAGTTATTAAAACTACCATTTTCTTTATAGGAACTGACCTAGAGCAGATCAGCTGGTTTACACACTCTTCACTTCTGAAAGTCTCATTCTATGTCTGTTCACAAGATCCGGCTTTGCTAGTATGAGTTTTCTCCTCAGTTTTAATGATTAGAATAGCCGCAAAAGAATAAAAATCATTATTTCTTGCTGAAGAATCCTGCTTAGACCTATTCTTTCTTTCCATTAAAAAATAGACTCACAGTTTTGGTTTGATTTAATTCAACACCTAATGATTGAGTGATTTCCTAACCCACTGTGAACCAATGTATGAGATGAACAACCTTAGTAGTTGTGAGCGTCAGTTAATTAATAGCTTAAAAAGGAAACCATGACTAAAAATAAAATAAATAAGCAACATATTTTAAAGAATTGCAGAGCTCAGAAATATCACCAACCACACATTTTCTTTTTTGTTTAGAACTTTAAAGACAAAAAACAGAGAGAACTGCAAAACTCAGAGAGTCGCTGCAGGTAGAGAGTCTGCACGTCTGTGTGGCTTCTGCCATCCCTATCACGGCAATTGGTGACCCAGGGCTGGACAACATGGCAAGTAGCCTGGTCCACACTCTTCCAGGTCTCCTTATGAATCTAATAATGCCTGTTGTTTGTTCAGCTCCACGTAAATGAAATCTGTAAACTTGAGTATGGAGATGAAAAAGGAATAGCCAAAGCAAAAGTGAACATTTTCACATTAGTGTATTATCTCTAATGTTTGATCTAGTAATTATTTTCTTATTCTCTTTAATGGTTTGAATAATTTTCCATTCTTACGTCTGGTAATCTGGGCAAGGTAGTTGCTTATTTATTTTCAATAAAAATACACTTATACCCACGGAATTTTGAATATTCTAGGAAAGTCTGCATTATCAAAAAATACTGGTAACATGTGACTGTACTGTAACATTGCTTTGTACAGCTGAGAAATTCTGCGTGGGAGTCTAAAGAAAGAGTTCAGGAAGCTCCCAATAGATCTAACCAAACAAAGTAGGCTTCTGAGGGAGAAGTCAGTTGAGACAAATCTACCAAGATGTCTCTCAAGATCGTTTAGCTGTATTATATCCTGCCATTATACTTAGTACTTCAATAAGCCAAAGGTATTCTAGAGGCCACTGGGAAAAAGTTACACTGTGCTAGAAGAAGGGAATATGTGTACGGAGGGCAGATCAAAGGAGAAATTAAAGGCGATATGTATTCACTTTATTGATATCAGCCTGGGTATCACAAATATCTGACATTAGTTGAGAATGACTGTGCTTCAAATCCAGGCCATAATTTTCTGTAATGTCTTTCTAAATCACCACTATCAGGCCAATTAATTTTTTCCACTTTACAGCTGAGTCAAGCAAGCTATAGAGGGCAGGGATATAGCTCAGTGGTACAGGCTCCTGCCTGGCAAGTGCGAGGTCCTCAGTTCAATTCCCACTACCAAAAAAAAAGGAAAGAAAGCTATAGGTAAGGTAGATAATTTTTCCAGATTACCCCTGAGTAAATGGGAGAGCTGCAATTTAAATACGGACTATCACTTCCTGTAGCACATGGCCACTTGACGCAAGAAGAGATATATATGTAGATAAGCATTCATGAGTATTCATTATGCCATCAATGCTTCTAGCAAACATGAGTCTCTATTTGTATATATGCTAATATCTAACTGTTCTGTTAGCAATGTATTTTCTTATTTTTGTGTACACTGATAGTAACTGCTTCTTCTCAAAGAAAAGTAAAAAGAACTCAATCCTTTGAAAGGGTACAGAAAGGTAAAGTGGAAACTCCAGTGAGGAGAATTCAGGGTCCTATACTACAGATGACCACTTTTAAAGCAAGCTTTTACAGTGTTTGGGCTACAGCTGCTTTTCACTAACCATCAAAAACAAAGATGTGAAACTTCCTGCCTCCTTGCAGGTTCTCCTCCCACATACCTGCTCCTCACTCTCAGGAGGTCAGTTCTGCCTTCTTCTTTCCCGACAACCTCCAGTGCCTTTTCCGTCCATGCTGTGAGTTTCTAGGTAGGATTGAGGGCTTCTAACTGATTGCTGTCACATTTGCCTTGCAGTCCTTGAGGATGCTACACTCTCTTCCTAGCATATAGTATCCCTCTTCCTACTGCCTCAGAAAGTATTTATTGTTCCGTACTCTACTTCTTAATCATTTTAACTCGCATACCTTTTTTATTATTTTGATTTCCTTATCTCCCTCACTAGAAGGAGGCCTTATTGCTCAGATGTCTCTGGGAGTTCGTAAGGTGAATCAGTATATGAGAAATGCTTTCTAAATAAGGATAGCAAACGACAACAATTCTTCAGAGATGTTGAAATTGCATTTGTAGAGTTCATTACAGGGCCCTTTGGAAGAGCTTCAGCACTTAGGTAATGAAATAGAAGATGCTGCATCAAGTTTGAAAAGAGTAATGAAGTTAAATTTGGCCAAGAGGATAGAAAAATTGTACATGAAGCTCATTGTACAATTCTATCACAACACGGAATTTATAAGAATGAAAACAGAGTGAAAATTGTCTACCTGGTAATGACATTGATTAACATTTTTATTACAAGGAAAGTTAAGCCAGTGTGTGAATCATAAAATTGACAAAGTTTCTGAAAACTCTGCAGTGTTTTTCTACCAATGTTTTTTTTTGTTTTTTTTTTTTTGGCTTTTTCTCCGGTACCGGGAACCGAACTCACGACCTTGTGCTTGCCAGGCAGGCGCTTTGCCGCTGAGCTAAATCCTCTACCAATGTTATTAATTTTAAAAGTCAATGTAGATCTCAAAATGTCTGCAGTATAGATAGAGGATATACTACAATTTTGATAAAATAGCTTGTCATTAGACTTATGTTCATGGTCAAAATTCATAAGTTGTTCAATGATCTCACGCCCTTTGCCGGCTTTGGCTTTCAATGTTGATCGCCTTTTTCTTTGAATTTCTGGAATGCACCCTCACTGACACTGGCCTCAGGACTCTGACACTCCCAACCCTTCTCTCTGGAAAGAACGCTTATGCTGTCCAATTTTATCATTAATCTCCTACTCATATTTTAATGACTGCTCATAATTTACTTACTAAAGAATACTGTCCTGGCTTCCCAGTCTATAGTGATCTACAATCTCATTCTTACTTTTTGAAAGATCACTTATCATAATTTCTACTACTGTATTTGTTAGTGTCATATTTTCCTGTTATTGACACCTTCCCTAGAAATATGGTCCAAATTACTAAAGCTTGCCTCACCACTTGTTCATCTTTGAGCCATATTCATAAAACATGACTTTTTAATTTTTTCCCTATAAACAAAACATTAAAATCATTAACACAAAGGGATTGCATTGTTCTTCTCACTTTCTGAGAATGTACTGGTTGCAAGTGTCAGAGGTAAATTACATAGCACTGGAAGTAAATGCCTTTGAGTAGCTCTTTTCCACAAATTTCAAGAATCCAAGTCGGAACAAAGAAAAGAGTTATCAATTTTAACTCATCCCCCCAAAATATGCACAACAGAGCATTCCATCTAACATAATTTTCAGTGGTTAATGATGATATGTTTATATACATACCTCCATCAATGGAAAAGATTAGGGATACCAATGAGCAACATTTTCAAAATTTTCAGTATGATGCATATACATCTGAAAGGTTATCTATGACAAAGTACATTGAGTTATTCTATTTAATAATTTCTTAGCTATACTTGTTCATATTTTAACATCTCTTGCAAATGGAAAACACATTGGAATAAGAATCATTAAAACTGGTGGATGCTTTACTTGAAAATTATTAGTAAGACCCAGAAATTGCCAGTGTAAAAGTTTTTTGACTCAATGAAATGCAAGTACACAAGTAAGAAAAAAAATTTTAAGAAAAATGCAATATCATTGCTGTGGATATCACTAGACCCATTTTCCTCTTCATTTCCCTTGTCTAGTAGTTTTCCATTGTTATGACAGCATGGTAGAGGAAAAGCACCTTAAAGGAATAAAGTCTCAGCATTTCAAACATTTTCATTCCATGCTCTGTGAGTCAGAATGTTATGGACGAAGCAGGTGGCAATAGTGGTGGATTCATTCATGGTGGTGGAAAAGAAAATGAGCTTACTTTTCTAATAAAGTCCCTTCTCTGAAATCCATTAACCTGTGAGTTCATAAATGTATTGATCCACTCATGGGCTCAAAGCTTTCATGACCCAGTCGTCTCCACAGTACTCCACCTCTAAACACGGCTGCACTGGGGACCAACCCTTCACCGCAGAGCCTGTGATGGACTTTGGGATCCAAACCCTAACACCATGGCTTCATGATGTTTAATAAGTTTTGGAAACAAATGTAGTAAGAACCTTGCACACCTACATAGCTCTTGAAAATTTGCAAACATAATCATAAGCACTATATAGTATCAATGTCTCGACTGCTCTGTACAGAAGAGAGAAGATGGTGTGTTATCCCTTCCTATAATTATAAACCAAGTTAGTGTATTGTATTTTGGTAGCTACATTGCTAATTAGAATTGAAGTCAGAGACCTTAATGTCTATTTTACGCACAAGCTACATATAACACGGGGAAGTGATGTGTTAGCTGTGGGCTTCAGTGGCTGAGTTTTGGTTGCTGTAACCATTTGTAATGGAGTCCTAGTGCTACCGTGTAGAGGGTGACACTTTTGACAGTGGCAGCTTCACCTTGCCTTGTCAACGCCGATGTGAGGTATGGCCACGGTAGCATTATGAATTGATGTATGCCAGCCTGTGTAACTCCAGGTTTTCATCAGGACAGTGACCTGCTGGACCGGCGGAAACATTGCTTCACCGTACAGTCCGAATCTGGGGAGGACCTCTACTTCTCGGTGGAGTTGGAGAGTGACCTCGCCCAGTGGGAAAGAGCATTCCAAACAGCCACTTTTCTAGAAGTGGAGCGGATACAGGTGAGAGTCTTGGAGTGTAGAACCCTGCTTCCCAGGGATATGTACTTCATCCTGGAATTCTGGTGTATGCCCAAAGCAATGTAAAAGTAGGTCAGAGAGCTTTGACCTCCTTATTAAACACATTCACAAGAACTAGCGGTATTGCCAAATGAATAACAAGGAAGCCCTTAAAAATGTTTTAATTTTCCCACAATTGTATCTCTCCAAGCTATTTCCTAGGATTCACGAAAAATATATTTGTAATTGTAGTTAGACAGTATTCTCACTAGAGTTCGACACTCCAGTTTCAGTTAGCTGTTTAGAAGACCGAGTCCTGCTCCTTTCTTCACTCACAGGGCTCTTCCTTCTTTCCCCTGTCTATGTCCTTCGAAGCCAGTCACCTCTGAAACTGTTTTTCCAAAGCTTCTATCATCCATGGACATTTTCCTGACTTCTAGAATGCCCAGCCCCGCTAATCATACCCCTTCCAGAACATTCCTGTTCATCTTTTTTTTTTTTAATTTTAGAAATAAAAGGAGGAAAATACTAACGGACCGACAACATTTTACAAAATAGCATAGGATCAGTACAGACATTAGAGTTACAAACAGAGTGGTAGGGAATTAACAATGCTTATTGTATTACATATTGATATCTTCAATGTAGTTTCTCATGAAAACACATATAGACATACAAAGCTAATCAACCAATGCCTTACTGACAGTTTCTTTCAGCAAGGAAATACAGGACAGTAGAACACCTGTGTTAACTATCCTGCATATACATATATACAAACTTTCTCCTTCTTTCCCTTCTCTTTTCCCATATCCCAGTTATCCTTTACCTATGAGTGCTTTCCTATCAATTCTCAATGTCTTATCATATCTCCTAGATTAAATTAACTCTTTCAGGCTTTACACTAGAGAAACAATGCGGTGCTTGCACATGTATGTTTGATTTATTTCGCTTATGAGTATGGTCTCTAGTTGTGACCATTAGCCTATAAAAGTCTCGAGTTTATCTTTCTTTACAGCTGAGTAATATTCCATTATATAAAAGTACCACAATTTTCTTATCCAATCCTCAGTGGATGGACATTTGGGTTACTTCCACATTTTAGCAGTTACAAATTGTGCTGCTATGAACATGGGTGCACATACATCACTGTGATATCTTCTTCCCTCTTCTCCCTCCTGCAAACAATTTCATTTTCTTTCATTTGTTTTCTTTGAACCAATTACATGCTGCCTTGGACTGGAGTGAGACTCTTGTCAGTCTCTGCACTAAACTGTAGGAAGCTTGAGATTATTTTACTCATCTACCAACTGCACTCTAGTGCATGTTGCACAGCACAATTATTCAGGAAAGATTTACCGAATTATATTTCTTCAGTGTAAAGTCAGGCCTACATCAAACTTTATAGAACCCTGTATATCTATAGTTCAAGAGATCACAAAATGGAAGCCAAAATTGTCCTGTGGCTGACCTGTCACAGATCTGAAGGTTAAAATGACCTTGCTCCATGCCAAAGTATTCACAAAGCCTAAATGGACCCTTACTTTGGTAAACAAATATGATAATAATACAATGATGATGATACCACAATGTTTGCCTATAACAGGAAATCAGTGTGTATGCTGAACTGATTACATTTGCTCCCTCTGAACTTAAATACACACCATAGTAACTTGTGATAGTATGACATTCCAGTTAGAGAGAAAATGGAAATCTCCCATCTAACAATTGAGTTTTTCTAACAACTCTACTTTTACTTTCATATATCTAAAAGTTATGAGATAGCTGAAAATATTTTTTCATAAATTAGCTGTATAAAGTCTATTAAATATTTTAGTATCAAACTGGAAAGATGAAAAAAAATCTTAAATATTATTCTATTCTAAGTGTCAACATCTAAAACCATTTTAAAGAGCTAGCTGTAACTTAATTGAGAAAGATTTGAAATGTTATTATTTATATTTTTAGGCTTTCTCATCTGCCATTTTTCTAGAAAATTCTACTGCTCTTGGAAAAAAAACTGCTTGACAGATTCTGCAAGTTGATCTCAATTAATGATTTCATTATACATACCCTGATGTCTATAAATGAGAGAGAGGAGAAATTACGGCTTTCCTTTTTATGTTTACAATCTTCTAGGATTCTGGGCTTTGAACTTTCCATTGTTCAGTGGAATCTTTGGAATTAGGTTCTTATCTACTCCTCAGGCTGGCTTAAGATCCATATCAGAAGGGCGAAGCAAAATTTTAATTTAACTTTTAGTTTTTCTACGCACTTTATAATGTGTGCACTATATCTGGAATTAGGAATAATTGGCTGCAAACTTTGGTAGTGTGATTTTCAATGTTCAAATATTTGAATATATTTCTATGAAGAATTATGTCTTTTATCTTTATATTATCAATATTGCACTCATTACATTTAGTTATAAAATACAACACAAGTTGTATGGTAAAATAGGTAGAAAGGAAGAAAACTGATAAAATGATACCCTCAAGCAGTTCACAAAAAATTACTTTTTTCTTTGAAATTGTAGCTATTAATAAGACCACACTTCTGTTTTCCAGCTTCCAGTCTTTTTTTTTTAAACCAAATTTGTATTATTTCTAATCTCTAATGTACTTAATAGTGATATAAATATCTACATATTTATTTGAAGGGGTTACCTATGGAAAGCATTCACTAGTAAAATGTTCACTATTGGCAAGTTGACACTTTAAAAATACAGTAAATAGTAAAACAAGATGATAAAATTTATATAAGTAAAATCTTATGTTTCATGGCTGTTAAGCTAATAGTAAAAAATTTAATTCACTTATATTTTTTAGTGTCTTTATAATTTTCTCAGAGCACATGAATAGAATAAAGGGCAGGTTTTTTCACTAATTCAATATGAATTCATATGCTTTTTTTAAAGGGACATTTGTAGAAAATGTGTGTTACTTTTAAAAATTTATTTTATGTAATTTAAGTCATTTTGAAATAAGTTTTTAAATATTTTGTCTGGCTATGCACATTTAGCCATCGTCAAAAAGAGTATTTAAAATTTTATACCACATATGATTTATGATTCAAATGTTGCATAATACTAACCACATAATAATAATAATAAAATTTTATGCCACATATGATTTATGATTCAAATGTTGCATAATAATAACCACAAAATTCTTTCAAAATGTCTTTTGTTTAAGATTCTCTAAAAGTAATTATTTTTCATTTTTCTCATAACTCCATGACCATTACATAAACAGAAATGAAACAGAAAATGATTCATATTTAATACATAGTACTTACAGGGCTGGGGATTTAGCTCAGGGGCACAGTGCCTGCCTGGCAAGCACAAGGTCATGAGTTCAGTTCCTGGTACTGGGAAAAAAATGGAAAAAAAAAAATGAAAAAAAATACATAGTAAGTACATTCATCCTATGTATTTATTAATATTATAAATTATAGAATGAAATTTAAATAGGTCTCTATAGTGTATCTACTTTTCTCCCTTTAAGAATATACAATTTCTTTTATTTTAAAAATTTAAAAACTGACAAAGCTACAATGAAGAGAAAATCAAAATAACACAAAAACAACAAAAATGATGCATGACCTCAAAACAAAATGATAGGAATTTACAATGGTTGCTATATTACACACTGTTATCTTCAACCAAGTTGCTCAACCCACCAGACATAAGAATGTAAGATTGATCAGAGTTACAAACAAAGTGGTAGGGAATTAACAATGGTGGTTGTATTACATATTGATATCTTCAAAGTGGCTTCTCATGAAAACAGATAGAGACATGCAATACTGGTCAACCAAAGACTCATTGACAGTTTCTTTCAGCATAGAAACAGCAGATAGAAGAACAACCATGTACAATCAAAGGCAGTAACAAGTAAAAAAAAAAAAAGAAAAAAAACATTGGAAATGATGCAGAGCTTCACCATACAATATGGTAGGAGTTCAACAATGGTTCTTATACCGCATATTGTTTTCAGATCAGTCATTCTGATTACCAAATTCTAGCATGCCAAATTGGTCAAGGTCAAAGAAAATTTTAAGCATTGACTGTTCCTCTCAATAAAGTAAAGACATCAGCAATATACCTGTTCCAGTTATCCTTATATATACAAGTAAGTTTTCTCTTGTTATATGTGCAACTACTTTGAAGGTGACATTATGTAATATAACAACCATTGTTAATACCCTATTACCATGTTTTGAATTTCTGTATCATTTTTATATCTCTGTATGCTATTTTGTTTATGTATTTGTTTTTGTTATTTTGCTTTTTTAAAGGATACACAATTTAAATAACATTGCTAAACTCAATGAGAAACAATCCATGCATTATACTAAATTTATTTTGACCTAGAATATTTTTGTCTGTTTGTTTAGTAGTTTTGAGAAAAGGTTTTGGCTTTTGAGAAAAGCTCAGGCCTGGCCTTGAACTCACAGCAAATCCTCCTCCCTCAGCCTCCCAAGCACTGGGATTATAAGTGTGTACACCCATGCCCAGATAGAATATTCTTTTTTTAAAAGACAATGCTTGTAATTAGGGAAAAAACCCTAAATTAGGAGCAAGTGATATAGCCTTGAACATTCTTTAATGTTGGTGGTTTTAATAAAGTAAGAATGAGTGAATACAAACATGCAAGATGCCCATGCATTAAGTGAATATAATTAGATATCAAAATGGACTTTTGAATTCCATTCAGTATACTCTCTAATCTACTTTAAAAAAATTATCTTCGCAGATAATTTGGAGTGGTCCTGATTTTCCTTTCTGAAATTAGACTTAGATATATGAATATCACTTTCTGGTGAAGTCAACATACAGTATTTAGTCATGATTACAATCAAAATGTGACTCATTTAATATATATTATGTAAAATATTATAAAGTAAGTACCATGTCAGAATTGACATTTAAAATGCAAGGTATATATCTCACTGTCTTATTGATTTTATATGTGAATTACAAATATTTGGAACATTTCACCTATAAGATGGCAATTACAAGTGAAATTACATTATGAAACTTTATGCAGCAAATCGTGCTTTGAGAGTGTGTGTTTCTGCAAACACGCTTGTAATTCAAAGCACTTATATGTTAAATCACATTTTCTCATAAGAAATAGTAGAAATTCGGATAATTCATGCCACGACACAAAATGTTCATGTAAAAATATTACAATACTGTAATATAAAAGACTATAATAAAGAAAATTCAAAATATAAAGAAAAACAGATTAACCCGCACTCACCTTTGAAAACCTTCATGGCTGTTGTGAGGGAAACAAGAGAAAAGAGATTTGTTGTGTAGGACAATTTTCACTGTTACTATCAGAATCGCGCTCTCTGTTTGATCAATGGAATTTTTTTCTTTTTGTGGAACTTTAACAAGGAGCCTATCCAGTGACACTCTTTTAACTCTTTTTGAGTATTTTATGGAAATGCGACATTGCATTGTTAAACAAATTCATAGCTCACGCTGCTATAGCCTTATAGACGTGGTATTTTACACATTTCCCTAGTCTCATTTGAAGTGAGGGATTCCTCCACATTTTATTCCTCCTCCTTTGCAGAGGAGATTTCCTCTATAACCTCTTTCTGTAGGGAGAAGATTGCCCATAATCCTGCAGAGATGGAGAGAGTGAGAGAGAGAGAGACACAGAGAGAGAGAGAGAGAGAGAGAGAGAGAGAGAGAGAGAGGGAGAGGAGAAGAGATGGGAGAGGGAGAGGGGGAGGGGGAGGGAGAGCGGGAAGGACCATAGATCTTGTGACATTCAGTATCATGTACTAATTGTATTGCAAGACATCACTCTCATACACAGTTAAAACTTATTAAAAATCTTTGCTTGTCTTGCAGAAAACTTGCAGAACAAGTTACTTGCAATCCAAATTTTGCTGTATATTGGAATTAGAGGTTTCGCTATAGTTTGCAGTTAAATGCAAGGGCAGGCACCTTAAGTATACTGAAATTTATCATGTTGCTTACAAGAGCTAAGTTATTTCATATCTGTTTTATCTTATTTTAAAATTTTAATATCCATATTTAGTCATTTTCCTAAACATTAATATAAACATACCATAATCTGATTCCAATGCTAAAATTCAGTACCGGTGTTTTTTATCAATTACTTTTTCTGCAAGTTTGTGGGTTCAAACCCTGGCCTTATGCATGCTTGTCAAGCACTGTAATACTGTCCTACATCCCCAGACTACACATATTGATTTTTAAAGAATTTGTATTTCAAACAAGTATAGGCAAATTATAAAATACCTATGCATAATTGCTTACATGACATAGGAGAACATACACAGATTCTTAAGTTCAAGATGTCTTTTGCTTTGGTTACAGAATCTATAAGTGTACCTGAGAGTTCTTTATAATAATATCCATGAAATCCATATACTAAAAATTTAAGACCTTTATTGTTAATAATAATTCTATTTTGGTTTAATAAAAATGTGGTGCTATTTTGGCCATAGGATATAATAACAATATAATCTCACCTAAACCTGAAAGTTTTGTAACAATTTATTGTCAATATAGCAAAGAAAGATAGTTTTGTACAATGTAAACATGTAGTGAAGAACAAGATTGGAAGTTTGACCCTAAGAACCCCTGGTGAGGTCCAAGAAACATTCCCAGCTTGTGTTTTACTAGGGTAAGAGCTTTATAGAATATCCTTTCTATGCAGTCATTGTTGGTATTAAGTTAAGCATCATGCAAGCCATTTAGTGTAGAAGCTGTCACATGCCCTTGAACCAACAGTGTCCTCTATTCTATCTAGTGCAAGACATACGCGTGTGTACTGGACAGTCATCTAATGGGCCTCACGATTGACTTCAGCACAGGATTTATCTGCTTCGACGCTGCAACAAAGGTAATGTGTTCAGGTTGGTTTGCAAAATATGCTGCCAATATTCTCGCCGAAGAACAAGTGAGAAACCTGTGTACTCCTTTCATCATTTCATTGCCTGTCATATGTCAAACTGGAGATCTTTATTAGTTGATCAAAGATAAATTATATTTTAGCTTGTTTATAGAAAATATTGAATTATAAACAAGCACTGCAGAGCATAACTATGTTAATGTAAATCTATATCAGTTTGTAAGTATAAATGTCGAAGCAATGGATATTATTTTTGTTTGTTTATTTTCTCCCTCTTTTCATAAAGAAATAGCTTCATACGTTACCGAACATTTTCTTCCCTAGGTAATAAATTTTAAAAAGTTTTCCTTAATGATTTTTCTTTATCAAATAAGGAAAACAATTATTTTATCAGTGACAGCTTAGCTGTATGGGTAGAATGGTAGGATTTTGAGTCTTGGGGTTTCTAGCCAGGGAGGACATCCACTGTAAATATTTGACTGAAGAAGGGTTATGTGCAATCCGATGAGCTGCTCTTTCTATGATGTGTGTCTCTGAGATGAAAGGTACCAGCCCAGTGAGTCATATTTTAAAACCTAATCAAGCACAGGGACGATGGAGTGACCCACGATAAAGCCAAAGCATTTTACACTATTGTTACATAACCAGGGATGATCTTAACATTCTACTGACCCACACCCAACTGCTACTCTGCCTCTAGTCACTGCTGCAGAATCTGACTGTGACTCTGACCCTCAGGAAATGCATTTTTCTCCCTTCCCACTAGAACACCTGTTCCCTAGATCCCCTCTACTTCCTCCTCTATCCAAGTATGGCCCAAAATATCGACTGAAAGATTCCCTCTCCCTGATTTATGGAGTGATAAATAATCTTTTTGTAGAAACCACACATTTTATCCAGAAATGAAGATGTGCACAGGATTTTCACAAGAACATACCAGCAAAGGGGCTGGGGATTTAGCTCAGCGGCAAAGTGCCTGCCTGGCAAGCACAAGGTCGTGAGTTCGGTTCCCGGTACCAGAGAAAAACCAAAAAAAAAAAAAAAGAACATACCAACAAAATAAAACAGTCACACAGATGTGTGAGGAAGGTGGAGTGATTTGGTCTTGGGAATTATGCCAGCCATATTTCATAGCTGGGTAGGATGTCCTATAGAGTCCAAAAAGTCATAGCTGGGTAGGATGACATCTCTGGTCACAGAATTTAGGATATTCATGACCAGCAGTTGAGAATATCATGTGACATTTAAATTATCTAAGGATCGGTGGAGTTTGTTTTTAACAATCACTGTGAAATTAATGAGCACATTTATCCAGGTCAGATTCGGCCGACTAGTATATGGGGTTTGCCCCATGGCAAACAAAAGTTTTTTAAATTCCAGTGGCACTTTTGATAATTTTGCCATCAAATCAGGATAGACCAGTGAGTGTTAGAATAATTTAATAAATTACTTTAAGGATTTAAATATTCAACTAACTAGGTTACTAATTCTACAAATAAACTGATATGACAACAGATAAAGTCTGATTTTAAATAAGAAATACCACCAGTATTGCCACCAAACTGTATTTCAGGGATGTGAGTCCCAAGTTAGCTAATGAGACGGAAGCAAAAGTCATCAGAACACATCTAAAGTATCTGAATCTCTGCTGAATTTATGTTCAAGGCTAGTAAAATCCAAATCCTTATTAGTGACCTGTTGTGTAATAGAGGAGAAAATCATGATGTCCACACCCTTTCCAAGGTACTGGTGAACTTCTGCCAGGAGTAAACTAGGAATGAACAATGAGTTAAGGGAATCAAAGAAAACTCATATTATGCCATCCATGGAATACCAGTGGTAAGAAATAAGAATTTGATTATTGTAAGCTTAACATGCAGGAAATGCCCAAGACTTCAGGAGTGGCAGCCACTGTCCTTTTCTTTTTTTTTTTTAATTCTATTGAAAGCATCAGCCTTTCAGGTAATCTGAGAATTGAGAGGAAGGAAAGGGCATTGTAAACATTATAGTGAAGATGACGATCATGTTCACCACCCAGCCTGTGACGCATGAGCAGTAAAAGTGAGAGCTGTTAATAATCGTGGCAAGAGAACAGGCATAAAACGAAAACATCCTGGGGAAACTGCTGGGTGAACTTTACTGCATGAAGCTTGCCCTGCTCCATGAAATGCCGGGAAGTTACTTTTAAATGCAAGAGGGGTTGTTGTTACAGACAAATTAAAATCTACCTTGCACTAGTATTTTATTAAAAGGAGTGACACCAACTGTTTTTTCTACACTGGATAGTGTTGTGGTAAATGCCCTGAAGAAAATATGCTCAGAAGAATTTAGTTTTAAACATGGATTCAGGAATATCCCTGGAGCAAATCTTTTCCTGTTTATAGCCGAACATATTTTATTCTGCGTTTCTTCATAACCAGCTCTTCCAAACCCGAAGTTACTTAGAAAACAAAGTATCCTAGGATGAAGCACAGATTCCAGGCAAAGAGACGACTCTATTTTGAGTTATTGAATGAGTCCTTATTAAAAGTTTTTTCAGTTTTACAAAAGGGTATCCTCACTACTGTGTCAAAGCATAATTTTGTAATTGTTATAGAAATTACATAACTAAAAGTATACATTTGCCACCATTACATTCTTTGAAATTTCTATGCAAATTTTTATCTCTCTTGTTTCTTTACACATTATAATTTTATTTTATGAAGGGTAAAACATAAAAAGAAGAATTTGCCAATTAGGTATTGTAATTTCAATGAATTAAAAGTTATATTTTGAGTAAAGTGATTTGGGAAATTTCGCTTCTGCTTCTTGCTGGATACCAATGAGCTAGTTCTGATTTCATGGTACAACACCACACCAAAATAAACAACCATATTACTAAAACATTAAAGAAAGTTTCTTGTGAAGGACAGAATGCTAAATGAGGTAAATGGGGTATGATCACAGGTAGGGGACAAATAACTTTAATGAGACTATAAAGAGTTAATTCTGCTAAAGAATTTTAAAGAGAATTCAGCATTTATTATCGCCAAATTTTGACATAGAATGTACACACAATTTTTCATGTAATGAGTGTTTAAGGTTTTCCTTTCTGCTAAGGAAAGAGTTTGTCTGTTATTGGTATTCAGAGCTAAACAAGGAACTTAACTGTAGTTCAGTGTAATAAAATATTACACTTTATGTATATATCCAGAATTATGAACTTGGAAGACCAGGCTGTTGGAATTGTACCATGTTTGCCACTAGAAATTTCAGGTCTATGCTCACAAATACAAGATTTTGCACGTGTATTCTGTACTGACTTCCCTCTTGGTCTCTTTGATTTCTTGCTCTATTTTCCTTCCATCTACCTTTTAATCTATTTCAGTTGATATTTTCTTTTTTTCAGTTTTTATTTCTTAAAGTACATGTTTGCATTACATAATGCTACATTCCTTGTGGTGACTTGTTGCATGCATATAGTACATCATAATTATTTTCATCTCTCTCATCCTCCCCTCTCCATTCCTTGATCCCTCTCCCATTTGAACAAAATCTATCATCCTATTTCCTGTTATCTATTTTTTAGTTCACACCTTATTTACAATTTTGGTTTTTCAAGTTTAAAAACCATAAGTTATTTAAACTTGTGTGTCCAATTCAAGGTGCATCCATTTTGCTGCAAATGATTCAAGTTTATTCTCCTTTTACGGTAAGGTAGATTCCATTGTATGTAAATATCACATTTTCTTTCAGTATCCTTCTGGTGATGTAGATGACTTCCAAGATTCAGCTATTATGAATTATCCTGCACAACTGTAATATGATGGGCATCATTCTAATATGATGTGTTTAACTCTTCCAAGAAGAGATATAGAGGGGAATATCTGAATCAAATGGAAGTTATAGTTTTAATATTGAGGAATCTCCATACTGATTTGCAGGGTGGTTGCAACAGTGTACATTCCTGACATTCCTCCACAAAATGTACATGAATACTTTTTCACCTATAGCCGTGCCAGCATTTATTTGTATTTGATTTCTTGATATTAGCCATTCTTTCTGGAGTAAGATGAAATCTTAATGTTTGAAATTGCATATGGTAGGCCACAGTAGTGAACCTGTTTTCATAGATTTCTTAACCATTCATGCTTATTCTTTTGAGAAATATCTACTTATTCCATTGTACAGCTTTTGATTGGCTTTTTATTTGGGGGTATCTTAACTTTTTGCGTTATTTTAGGTATTGTAAGTATTAGTCCTTTGTCTGAAGAGTAGCTGACAAAACATTTTCCCATTCTGTAGGCTGGCTCTGCACTCTGTTTTTTCCTTGGCTTTACAGAAGCTTGTTAATTTGATATAATACTATTTGTTGGTGGTTGGTACTGTTTCTTGTGCCACTGGAGTTCTGCTCAGAAAATTCTTGCCTATTCCTATGTCTTCAAGAGTTTTATCTATTTTCCCTTCCAGCAGATTAAGTCTGTTTAACATTTAGATCTCTGACCCATTTTGACTTTAGTTTAGTACATGGGGAGATATATGACTCTAGCCTCAATTTTTGCCAGCACCATGTAATAAAGAGGCTATCTTTCCTCCAGCGTACGTTTTTCATCCCTTTCTCAAAGGTCAAATAGCCAAATGTGCCTGGGTTGTTTCTGCATCCTCTCTTCCATTGACCTATACTCTTGCTTTTGTGCTACTTCCATGCTGTTTTTTAATCACTGGAAGTTTATAGTTGATCTTGAAATCTGGGATTGTGATGCCTCCTGCCTTGCGCTTGTTACTTAGAATTGCTTTTGCTATTCTAGGCTTCTTCTTGCTCCAGACGAGTTTTGCAATTGTTTTCTCTAGTTCTGTGAGGAATTCTATGGATATTTTGATTGGGGTTGCATTAAGTCTGCATGATAGCTTTGGGGATGCGATTACTTTTACTATATTGATTCTACCTATTCAGGAACAGATGATATTCTTTTGTTTTGTTGTGTTTTCTTCAGTATTCTTTTTCAGAACTG